GTTCCTAGTAGCGGATGTATCAGGAATAACATTATTATTAATTGAAATATGGAATGAATCTGCCAAGCTCCTTTTGTTTCCCGAACAATAAAAAATTTGACTTTGTTGGATTTACAGATAACTGATGTGCTATGCTTTCATTTGACAAATTACTGAGATCTTGATTTAATAATATACAGGGTGTAAACGTTATGGTAGTCATTATTGAAATGGGTAATAGGAGAGGTCAAAACAAGTCAAAAAGTTCATATGACCCATGGTCTAAAAGTCAATAGATTTTTGTCTAACTAGCTTTATAGTTTACAACTTTAAGTGCTTTATATCGATCACAATCACCACACGCTTACTAATTTTCATAATCTAATCTAAAACGTTTTTAAATTGGGTAATTAACAAATAAATGCCATTAAGTTTTTCTAAGTTAAGCCAAAATGTGTAGTCAGTAAGTGAGTAAGTTTCATTAAATTGAATATTTAAAACACATATGACAACAGCGCGTCGGATTTTAATCACTCTTATCGAACCGGCGATCGATCGCAAACGGTAACAGTGGTTAGTATGTTGTTTTGTTTTTGTTCGCGTACGTTCAGCCCACTAATATTCACACTCGTGAAAGACAGGTTACTGTAGAGCAGGAGGAACAAATTTTAAATATCGTGGAAATCAATGCAGATATCAGCAGCGGGAATTAGGCCGCCGCGTAGGACTATCGCATAAATACAATTAATTGTTAATTGCGAAATTGCCAAACTTTTTAGGCTTTAGTTAACTCTTTTGACGGTAATCTCTAGCTTTCGGCAATTCTCTATGGAGCCTTCATCAGGAGTCGTCGTTCAGGTTGCAGCCAAATGGTGTTTCAAAGCGAACTCGGGGGTGAGAGCACTTGTTACAATTATAAATCCAATCGGACAGGCACATTGGGCTTATTGATAACGACGGATACCATCGTCGCTTGGAATACGCCCAAACAGTCGCTCGCAAGGCTGATGCTGAACCTGATTGTTGGAAGCAAATTGTGATGACGGACGAGGCCCATTTCAAGCTCTCTGGCGGCGTTAATAAGCAAACCTGCCGCATTTGGGGGACGGAAAATCCACGTGAGATCCATGAACCGTTGCGTGACCGAAAAGTGACTGTTTGAGCCGGCGTTTGCACCAAAACCATCATTGAGCCATTTTTCTTCAACGAAAACGAAACAGTCGATGGAAATCGATATCGGTGGATGTTGGCTCATTATGTCTGCCCAAAATCCGTGAAAAAGGTCTTGATGGTTACTGGTTTCAACAAGAAGGTGCGCCATGCCACACTGCAAATGAAACAATCCAGTTTCCGCAACGAAAATTCCCTGGACGTCTGATGTCAAAAAGATGTGACATTGACTGGCCACCCAGATCTCCAGATTTGACCCCACCAGACTTCTTCTTGTGGGGTTATTTGAAAAGTCAAGTGTACGCCAGCAAGCCCGAGACCACTGAAGAACTCAAGGCGAACATTCATACCGCAATCGCCGCTATAACACCAGCTTGAAAAAGTAATGGAAAACGCAGCAAAACGGGCACATTTTGTTTTGGCCAATAAAGGTGGCCACTTGATAGATGTTGTGTTCAAAAACTAGTCCCAATAAATTGTAAAGGACCATATTTAATAAAAATACCCGATATATAGAAATTAGTTTTTCGTTTTCAAAGTTATTTCATGTTTACATACCGACATAAAAGATGGCGCACCCTATATCTATATATATATATATATATATATAATAACATATTGGAATATTTGTTCAAATATAGTGGGGGTCATATGATACCTCATTTTAGAGCTACTTATCAGTGCTTTGTAACCTCTGAATATAAATTAACAAATTATCAAAGTTTTGCATAATGAATAGCTTATATCTCCTTATAACTTCTTTTTATATCTATATTCTACTAAACGTGCAGTAAAATATGGCATGATCCGTTAAAAAAAAATGACAACCTACAATTTACCATATTTTATAACGTATTCGGCTAACAAGGGGAAGACACGACCTTGGGAATTTGAAATGAGACTTCACATAGTAATTGTACTCCTTTAGGGTATTCACCCCTTCGAGTGGTAACGCACAACACTCAATTGGGAGAAAAACACGTTTAAAAATTTAAACCCCTATATACTAGTAAGGGCGAAATAGCTTAGTTGTTGTGTATAGTTTTGTAGTATCCAAGATAAATTTTCATGTGCGTTTTGTATGCAATAATTGAAAACCTTACTAGATTTTAATAATAGAAATAATTATAGTACTATACAAATATTGTATCAAATTTCAAATAATAGAATTGCTATAATTAAATTATAATTTAAACTTAAGAAGGCTTTTTCGTTAGCAAAATCAAATTATTTTTATTTAAATTGTATACTGTACCAACTAGGCTATTTCGCTGCTGAAACTCGAAAAACCTTACTGGTATATAAGCTTAATTTGAATATTTAAACATCTCTTTCTCCAAAATGATTGAGCTTTAAGCGTTACCCTTGCAAAGACTACTAAAGGACTACAATTTCTAGACAAAGTCTCATCTCAAAATACATTCCCGAGGTCATGTCCTACCCTTTTCAAGAGAAGAAGATTGATTTAACATACTACAGCATTTCAGAGATTGGTTGTAGTTTTAAGCGTACAAAAACAGCCTGCCACTCCGCCATTTTGGAAGATCACAATATTATGTTCTAAGATTACAACGTACTCATAAGGAGCTTCAAAAATAAGGTATCCCATAACTCCCATTTTATTTAAAGAGTGTACCAAAATCGTTTCAATTTTTTCCTGAATTTATTTGCAGTGGGATTTCAAAATAAATTGCAGATTAACTTTGGTATATGATAAGATGGTATAATTAGAATTTCGATATGATGTTTCGTCTCTTGCCCTCCAGATTCAACTTTATTTTTTCTAATTTACGGCATACATATTGTATTTTTGCATATATATTCATAGAGATTTTAATTCTGATACCAAAAATAAACATATGTCATACATGACATCAATCTCCATCCTCAGTTTTTTTTATTCTGGATTTAGTTATGAACATAATATATTCATGTCACGTTAAACTTTACGTATTTAATTAAAGTGTTATATTCTTAGTAGTATTTATATGTACAAAATTCCAGCATGGCGTCCATATGAAAAAAACAAAGTTGGTGATGAAAGTCAAAAGAAAAATCCTCAAATCGAAATCTTGTAGAGAAGAAAAAGTGACAATGACAACATGCAATTTATTTTGAAATCTCATCTCAATGTCAGGAAAAAAAAAGAAAAGATGGTGATATTTGTATACGAAACAAATGACTATTTCAAGGCCTACCTAACAAATTCTGTTTTTTTTTCATAACTAAGGTTTAGCAATGTCAAATGATACGTTATAGAATTATATAGACTATATTCATCTGTGCATAAATCCAATATGGCGTCCATACGAAAAAATAAAATAGATGCTCGAGGACAATAAACAAAACATCATATTGAAATTCTGATTATGATATCTTGTAGAGAAGAAAAAGTGGCAATTTTAATGTGCAATTTATTTTTAAATGCCACTATAAATAAAGTCAGGAAAAAACTAAAACAATTTTGGAAAAATACGGTTTTTTTTCATCTCTCTCCAGAAGTACTTTGGATTTTGAAACTTTCCAAACTGCATTTTGTTAGTTACCTAAATACGCATTTTTGTCCCCATTTAAGAGACTTCGTATCTCTTCCTGTTTCCGAGATCCCCTTGGTGAGGGTCGAATTTGAAATGCCCTGTATATAAAATATTCTTTTGCAACTCACATAGTTCGTATTTTTTAGTGTCGTCCCTTTGTTTTCTAGAATAACCGCATAATCATCACAACTCAGATGGCAGCAAATGATTCCGTCAAACATGAAAATGTGTGAAAAAATCACCGTCGCTACATTGTTATTTACTATATAACCGTGATTTTTTATAGATTTGTGCTACATATAAACACATAGGTTCGAAAAAAATTTATGATTTTTTTTTTAATGTTTGATCAGGTAATGAAAATTCCGCAACTTTCAAAGTCTTCTGAATACCAGCGCTTTCTTGCGTTATTTTTAGATCCACTAATAAAATCATGAATTTTTGCCCGGAAAAAAAATCGCATTTCCACCGATTTTCTCCAACTCTTGACATTTTAAACGTAGGATATCACAGCTTAACTAACCTAAAAACCCAGCGTATATGAATTGTGTCCATTACTTTAGGTCCCACAATTAAAAATTTGATGTTTTCCGAAAAATCACGAAAATATAAAAAGCCGCATTGTCACAGATTTTTTCAGTTTTAGGTATTTTTAGACTAGGATACCATAACTAACCCAAAAGTCTAATGCGCATCTGTATTTTTGTAAATCTTCCAGATTTGATTATCTGAATTGTGATTTGTTGCAAATTGCGAAAATCGGAAAAGACGCAATTTTGCTGAGGTTCCACATTTTTTTACGTTTTTTGTTAGGATCGAAATAGCTGGTTAACACAGTGTATCTCACTGTATATTTCAATTTCTTACGTTTTTCTCAGTTCTGTTATCAAAAAATGATTTCTTGTTCGAAAAATCGCCGTAATACGAAAAAACTGATTTTCGAAAGAACACAAAGAAAGCACTGATTATACATTAGACTTTTAAGTTTGCGAAATGTTCATTCCCTAATCTGACTAGAAAGAAAAAATAAAAAAAAAACATTGTGTCGCATCTAAGCGTTGAACAAATCTATATATAAACATCACGGATATGTAGGGTAAAACAACATAGCGAGGAACTCCTACGGGCGTTCTATCGATATGAAAATATGGATAAGATGAAAACTTTCATATTTTTTTTTAGGATATTATTGTAGATTGAGAAACACTCACTTAATACGCGTAGCACGTAAAGTGTCAAATTTCTATTGAATGAATGCTGCTCGATATATTTATTTTGCGCATATGAGATATTTTTACGTAATTAATAACTTACCAGAAACGAAAGTACGCATATCAGGAGACAAGGAGAGTGACATAACATCGCCGGTATGTCCCAAGAAAGATGTTACTTGCTGGCCAGTCTCAATATCCCACAGAGCACAAGACATGTCACCGGAGCTGGTTACGATTTGGTTGTCGTCCAGAAAGCGACAACAAGACAAATAGCCCGTGTGTCCGGGGAGTTCCCTGCTTACACGGACATTTCCTAAAAAAAGTGATATTTATCATATTGTAAACAGAAGATGAAAATATCTATTATCCTACAACTTATTTCCGAATGATCTTTACTTATGAAAAAGGAGATAAAGTGATTTGTAGTAATATACCATAAATTATCATCTCTTGGCTACAAAGAGTACATTTTTTGGGTTTAAAATTGTTCTGTTAACACGATTCATAGCTTCTTATAAAATTGATCTCGAGGGTAATCATTGATATGATTTCGTCTCAAAAATGTCTCATTTCTTACGGACGACTGCAAGGGTCTATACTTGGGCCACTATTATTCATTTTATATATCGGATCTACAGGCCGTTATTAAATATTGCAGTGTTCAATTCTTCGCCCGTGATTCACATATTTATAATCATTTCGAAAGCTCTAATATCCAAACTGCGATATCTGAGGTCAATGATGATTCAAAAAATTGTAATCTTCAGTTGAACCCTCCAAAATCAAAAGTTATTATTTTCTCACCGAAACCATATAGAAGTGATGCGAAAAGAAACTTCAACATAAATTTAAACGGCAATTTTATTGAGGTAAGTGAATCAGTCAAAAACCTAGGTATCATATTTATATACGCCAACTTCTCCTAAATAAATAATTTCTTGACTATCAAACAAAAAAAAGTGCGAATCTTTGATCATATCTAAAACTACTTACAGTACAACCTCGTTAATCCGAATAGATTCGGACCACCGAACATTCGGATTATCAAATTTTCGGATTATCGTGAAACTAGTGAAAATAATAAATTTAGACACAAGTATTAAAAAATAAACTTTATTCTTTTCAACAAAACATAAATTTAACAAACCAAGGACAGTGGTCAGTTAAATACTGCACGTAAAACAAAATTAAACTTTCTCCTTCAAAAAAACTTAAATTAACATTCATATGTATTTATATGAGTACAGTACATACATAATTATGTATACATAAATCTATTGGGTAAAGAAATCAGTTATTACAGTTTGCTTATGCGCCTTAAAGCGTAAATTCACTGCTTTTTCCTGTAACTGGCGAAGAATTAGCAGTTCTGGACCGCTTACACTGTTCTCTGTCGCCCACTCTATGCAAGTAGTAAAACATCGCACGGCTTCACCGTGACTCACAACTGCTAAATTTTCATAATCTTCAGCGTCTTCAGGGGTGTCATCGTTATTGCCGCTTAATGCAATGTTTACCAAATCTTCATCAGAAAATGTTATTTGCTCATTTTCAGCTGCGCCGCCCAAGGCCCATGTTCTAACTTCATTCGCTGCAAGATCCGGTCCTGATGAGATGACATTCATCAGAACCGTCATTTCTTCAAATTCTCGCTCATCTGATATCGCTCTTCTCCTTAGTTCTGCTAATGGCATCAAGTCTTCTTCGTCATCGTATTCATCGCCCAAATTTTCATGGATATTTAAAGGCCAAAGCTTTTTCCATGATTTTTTTATTAATTCAGAGCTGACGTTCTCCCACGACGTGTGGAGATTAAAAATTGCATTTTTTAAATTGAAACTTTTTAATGCTTCTGCAGGTTCGGTATCATCAGCAATTAAATGAAGAAGAAGCTGCTTCCTGTAGTGCATTTTAATAGCTTGAATGACATGTTGATCCATCGGCTGCAACAATGGGGTACAATTTGGTGGCAAATATAAGACACAGACTAGACCATCTCTGCTCCGCAGTTCTTTTTGTTCGGGATGGCTAGGTGCATTGTCCAGCAGCAAAAGAGCACGAGGAGGTAAACCGATTTGCTTTAAATGAGCTTGCACTGAGGGAACGAACTCTTCATGGAACCATTGCTTGAAAAGTTCTTGATTCATCCAAGCAGATCTCTGATTTTTGTAAATCACGGGCAACTTATTTCGACAGTTTTTAAATACTCTAGGATTGGCAGCTTTTCCAATTGTGAGCAGCTTTAATTTGTGAGATCCGGATGCATTTGCACATGGCATGAAAGTAAGCCGATCCTTGCTTATCTTTCGTCCCGGAGCTGAGTCTTCGTCTTTATGTACTAATGTCTTATTGGGTAGCGCCCGCCAAAATAGCCCACTTTCATCGGCATTATACACTTGTTCCGGACCCAAATTCATTTCCCGCACTTTATTTAGAAATAGTTTTTGAAATGGATCAACTGCTGCAAAATTGCTCGAAAGTTTTTCTCCCGTAACGGTTAACTGACGAATTTTAAACCGCTTTTTAAAATTATCCAACCAACCAGAACTTGCCGCAAAGTCGTCCCGTCCCGTAATTTCTTCGTAAAAAAATTTCGCCTTTTCTTGCGGGATTTCGCCCGAAATGTTCACATTTTTGGTCCTCTGCTGCAGGAACCACGTGTACAACGCCGTCTCTACATTGGGGTGCTTGGCCGTCTTCAAAGTCAGATGTGTTGTTTGTTGTTGATGAGAATTCATGCATTCAGCAATTTGGGTCTTCTTTTTCTTTATATCTGTGATGGTTGACCTCCCAACTCCATATTCTGCGACGAGCTGCACTGGACTTCGTCCGTTGTCTAATTTCTGAATTATCTCATATTTCTGCGCAAGGCTAAGTGTCTTGTGTTTCCTCTTAGACATGGTGCACGAATTATGACTATATTTCAAACGCGTATTAACTCTAGGCACTAAGAACGCACCGCACTCGAAACTAACAGCCTATGTACTGAGAAGTTCGACAGGCTATGACACGATTTTTCGGATTATCAAGGTATGACGCAATACGATTTCGGATTGTCGAGGAACGAAATTATTTCGGACTATCGCGATTTCGGATTAGCATGTATTCGGATTATCGAGGTTGTACTGTATTGTCATATTCGTCGTTATTCTGACGAAAACTCCTATGTCCAGAAGCAGTTGTTACTGAATGACATAAAAACTCTTTTAAATTTAAAAAATCGGTTTCGATTCCATTCACACCGATTTTTAGTAAATCTCTACAGAATTGCTAGTTTAGTTTCTTATTATGAAACTCTTGTACATCAAATCACGGAGCCCATATTTGACCATACAGAAGCTCCGATGTGGGTAATTGTTTCATCACAACGTTTGTCCGTTTTTAGACTCCACTTGCAGATTGATTAATAACTCAAGAAAGTATGATCCTATCAGCTCTTATTCAAAATATGAAATGGCTGAGACAAAGGGCCGTATCGTCAGTCGTCCCTACAATTAGAGGACGCCTTTATCGTATCCTTGGTCTTTTCTCTCATTCAGAAAAGCTGGGATATTTCTGAATGTCTACTGTTCGGACCCATTGAGAGGCTATGTCTTCTTTCTGAATCTTAAGAAATTTTAGGCTGATAAAACAGATGATGAAAATCAAGTTTTATCACTCTGAAATTTCTTACTACTCAAGAAGAAAATATAAACTCAAAATAGAGCGATGATACGAAACAGTAGAAATTCTCTGAAGGACAGGAAAAACTATAAAGGCGTCTTACAATTGTTGGAACGACTGACGATATGGCCCTAAAAGAATTATATGAGTTACACTTAGTCACTTATACCCATAAGCTTTTACTCATAGCCATTCCTCCATTTGTAAAGGTTAAACTGATACCTAGGAGTAATATTCACGTTTTGCGGAGTCTCTCTCTCTCCACAAACAGCCTTCTTTCGTAAATGCTTCACCTACAACGCAGTTATTCTCAGTAACGAACTTCCACAAGCCATAAAATTGCTGAATTATGAAAGATTCATAAAACGTAATGTTTATTTTGGATAAATATACTTAAATTATATGTTTTTTAATCTCTCACTTCACAAAATCTTTCAATATAAAATTTAATTCTTTCAGCCGTAAGACTGTTATAATTTATATTCTATACACATCTTATTTATAAAACTATAATTACTCTTGTTAACATCGAAAAATATTCGATAATTTGTTTTTTGTTGTAATGTTATACTTTTTTGGAGGTTGAGTAGCACTATGCTAAACTTCGCCCCTAATAAAGACTACCACTATTATTATTTGCGAAAAAAACAGTATACAGGTATACTCATCAGATTATCGATCTATTTGAACTATTTTCGGGTGTCAGTCTTTTCTAAAAGTCGACATTCTTTTTCGATTTTAGATTTTTTTAACCGTCAACCATTTCCTCAATTAAAATGACTTTTGAATACCGATTTATTATTAACTACTTCAAAAAGTCATAGCCTTTAAATTAGGGTAAACGTACACGATACCTCAACACATTCTGACGCTTATTTAAGTGTCCCTTTGTGTTAATTTTCTAGTACTGGATAGTGAATATGTTAAAATTCAGTAGCATGAGATATTTTTGTCAAGTATTGATTGAAAATCTTAGCTGACTTGGATCGGTACATTCCGATTTTACAGGGTGTCCCGAAAAAAATGTGCAATATTCTACCAGCAATTTCTAGAGCTTAAAATAGGAAGAAAAGCTTATATAAACATAGGTCAACAAACGTCCCCTAAGGGCGCTACGGTCTTTTAAAGGGGCTCCCCTGAAGATGGTTGTTCCTTAATATTTCCGAAACGTGTTGAGATAAAGACATAAAATTTGATATTGTAGCCTAGTTTTTTATGCTGGATTTAAAAATATTAACAATTTTAGACAGTTTTGTTTGGAAGCGTATGTAACAGGGACGGAATCAGGTTAATTTTGCCCCAAAATTTTTGTGTGATTCTATTTTTGAAATTCAATTTTAGGATTTGAAAATTTAGGGTTTTCTACATAAAAAGGTATTCTTAGTGAATATCGATAAACTGTGCCATTTTTTAATAAAATCAAACTAAAAAATTTGTCATATGATAGGAAATGTACTGCGAATTTAAAAAAATTGTTGATTATACATAGTTAGCCATGACTGCAAACAAAGGTTGTTTTGATTTGTTATGACTTATTTAGACGTTAAGCTGACATTGTTAGCAGTGTAAAATTACTAGATTAAAATCAAAATTTTTATTAAATCTATTTAAAATGCCAAGATTTACAAACAGAGAACTGACTGACATGCATTTTGTGTGCGGGTTTTGCAATGGTGATTCATTGGCAGCCGGAAGAGAATATCAAAGAATATTTCCCAAACGCATAGTACCTGGACGTCGAATGTTTACTGATATTCACCGGAATTTGTCAAACCATGGAAGTTTTCAGCGCATGCAGGGCTCAGGAAGGCCACTGGGAAATCATCGTATGGATATTGCTTTAAATATGTTTGAAAATAATCCGCAAATAAGCATACGAAATGTTTCAGAAATTATGGATATACCTCGATCAATAGTAAGAAAAATTTATGAATACCTATTTGATAGTTATCCTAAAAATAATAATTTTAGATAGGAAGAATGACATGAATGCAAGGATTACACTCTTATCATTTTAAGCGGATGCAGCATGTAACGAAGACAGACTTTTTACCACGAATCAAGTTTTGTCAGTGGATATTAGCAAATGAAAACACTATTCCTAGAATATTATGGTCGGATGAGTCAATATTTACTACGAATGGTGCTTTTAATTTCCATAACATTCATTACTGGTCAGATAAAAATCCAAAAGTTGTTCGCCGTACAAATTTCCAACATAGATTTTCATTGAACTTATGGGCAGGAGTAATTGGGGATCAAGTAATTGGGCCTATTGTACTTCGCAATCGTCTTAATTCAGAGGTGTATCTAAACTTTCCTCATGGATATAATACCATTGGATGTGCGCCAGCAGTTTCAAGTAAATATGTTTTTTCAACATGATGGCGCCCCTGCACATTTTGGACGCAATTTTCGAAATTGGTTGAATGTCAATTTTCCAGACAGGTGGTTAGGACGAGGAGGTCCTATAGCGTGGCCTAAATCCATTGAATTTCTATTTTTGAGGGTCATTAAAAGACCTAGTTTATTCGACTGAAGGAAATACTCAAGAAGGTTTACTTCAAAGAATCCAGCAGGCTGCAAATGAAATAAGAAGAAAAAGGTTTTCCGCTTTTCGGGCTACGCAATCATATTTATTTGAACACTTATTGTAAAGATGGTTTTAAGTATATCCAACTGTATGTCTTCTTTTTTAAACAAATTTCCATTTCGTTCGTAGAAAAAAATTATTTCTTTTGTTTTTGCCTAAATGTTAGCTATGAATTTATGTAATATTTACCAATTATTTAAATTAGTTTTTTCGTTGCCATGGCTAATTATTCAACAATTCATTTAAATTCGCAGTACATTTCCTATTATGTGACAGATTATTCATAATATTATTCAAAAATGGCACAATTTATCGATATTCAATAAGAGTACCTGTTTTATGTAGAAAACCCTAAATTTTAAAATTCCTAAATTGAATTTCAAAAATAGAATCACACAAAAATTTTGGGGCTAAAATAACCTGAGTCCGTCCCTGTTACATACGCTTCGAAACAAAAACTGTCTAAAATTGTTAATATTTTTAAATCCAGCAACAAAAACATGGAAATAGTAAGGAAAAACCATCTTCAGGGGAGCCCCTTTAAAAGACCGTAGCGCCCTTAGGGGACGTTTGTCGACCTATGTTTATATAAACTTTTCTTCCTATTTTAAGCTCTAGAAACCGCTGGTAGAATATTGCACACTTTTTTCGGGACACCCTGCATACCGAAACTTGCCCAATTACTTAATGCAAACAGCTCACACACAGCTTTGGCATCGTTAGGGAGTTCGAAGAAATACAAGGTCACTATATGTTATGGGATATTTATCCTGTTATTTGTTTTCACATTTTGACGTGTTGAAGTATCGTGGAAAATATTGTATTCACATTACAGTAATAATTACCTTCTCTAGTTTTTAGGCTATATATGGAACAAATATTATCCAGACCACCGCAAGCTACGAAACTACCTGATGGGGCATAAGCACACGTCATTACCCATGATGATCTAAGAGGTATAGCGTGAACCTAAAACAAAAAATGCAAATCAGTATGCCGGAAATCGAGTATGAAATACAGATAACTGCTTTTATTCCTACAAGGTACAGTAGATCTATTCCTAATGGATACACCAAAAAACCCAAGTTAATTACACATGAAAGAAAACTTTGTTAATATTTCAGTATTCCTTTAGTTTAGATGTCCTTGGCTCAAAACACCATTTCTTCATGCAACACTCGACGCGATGAATCGCCGTCACCTGTCTATAAATATAGGAATCCACATTTTTTTGACAGTCCTAGATCAAGGTCCTTTTAGGGGGAGGGCACGTCTCACGATTTAGCTATAGCAAAGTAATTTGTATGCTAAGATAAAACAATATAACACTTTCTTAAAAAACGGCAGACCTGGGCATCTAGGGGAGTGGGGAGACCCCTCTAAATCCGCCCTGTTTCAATCCTGATCAGAATTAGTATTCAACACAACACAACAATCCTGATCTATACATGTTAAGGTGGTTTCGATCAGTTTTTACTAGACTATTTAGAAAATACAGGGTGCGGCAGAGAGGACAGACGTTTTTGGGATGGGGTCTACGAGAGAGGTGGGGAGGGTGCCGTTTGGCTCGTTTCGTCGCCACTTCAACATTCATCGGAATAGAGCTGTTCCCTCTCGAAACAATCCTTCGTTGGGTTGAATCACTTCGCAGGCGTGGTGAACTGATCAACAGAAGACCAAGAGGAGCGCCGCGAACAGTTCGGACTCCTCAAAATGTTGAACGCGTTCGACAGGATTTTTTCTTATGGGGACACCTCAAGGCTAGAGTATACGCGAACAAGCCCCGAACTCTGGACGAATTGAAGGGCGAAATTCGCGTGGAAGTCGCCCAAGCTGAGATAGCGATGTTGGAGAGAGTCTACGTGAACTTCTAAGAACGCCTCCAGCACTGCATCAACGATTTCGGCCACCACATGCGTGATGTGATTTTCCACACTTGACTGTCTCAAATGCTATTTCCTTGTGAACCTTATTCCATCAATAAATTTGAGGAAAAATTAACTAAATTAATTAATTAAATAAATTTTATGATTTTTTTAAAACCATCCATCTTCTCTGCCGCACCCTGTACATACATAAAACATGTTGCAATGGCACGGTGTGGCACGGATATCTTTTGTGCATGACTAAGAGCATAAATACACGTAAATCAGTTAACATTTTTGGAAACTATCGATTATTATGGCTTGAGGTGATAATTCGGTATGCGTTATAAGTGCCATGGCAAACAGAAAAGGATGTCATACCTAACTGATTTTTATACTTAATCATTACATTGTTGAACTTGTGAACATTCTTTGCAGAGCTGTGAGCCACAGAGGCGAAATATGACGAATAAAACTGTAGCTCAAGTTTATAAAAATGTATGTAGAAATGTGTGTTTCAGATTTATTTAGCATTAATGCTACAATATCCATAATACAAGTATCCATATTGCACAGTATATCACAAAATATAGTATGTCTTCAAGACTACATATTTTTATACAAAATTTCACTACTACGAATTCTGGTTTTCCATGAGATATTTTTTCAATTTCCCTTTGAACAGTTTCAAACTGACACACATCCTGATATCATTACTTAATTTATTAAATTCGTACAATCCCTTTTGAAATACTGACTTGCTCATTATATTGCTACTGCAGTTTTCTAAAAGAAAGTCTGTATTTCCTCTTGTAGAATAATTGTTCAATTCAATAAAATTTTCTGTGTATCACATAGATAGTTTAGTTCCAAATACGCAGTCCGGATTTAGAAAAAAATCATAGTACTGTGACTGCATCAGTTGACATCTGTGATTACCTCTTATGAGCTATAAATAATTCCTGCGTTTTGTTGGATTTGAGAAATGCATTTGACTGTTTAAACAACAAAATGTTACTTGCTAAGTTTCATTTTCTTGGTTTTTCTGAGAATTCGATGGTATGGTTTTAGAATCACCTATCAGATCGATCTCAACAAGTTAAAATAGGCAGTGACTTCTGACAAACAAGTCATTGTGAAGTGGGTGGCGCAAGGTTCCATTTTAGGACCAATTTTATTTACTTTATACGTGTCGGTCGGTTGAACAGTGAGCCTTACATTTTTATGCTGATCTATTACTTTTTTTTTACCTATAATTTTATGTGTTGCCGAACTGTCAAAGGTATGACATTTATAGTCATGGATTCGTTTACAACACAACAACGCATTTTGGTTATCCAAACTTATTTCGAAAATGGTCGAAATATAAAAAATACTTTTCGCAAACTTCGCACTAGTTTTGGCCGACATGGACGCCCTACAGAGCCTGGAATTCGTTGGATTGTTAATCGTTTTGAGGAAACTGGTTCAGCTGAAGGTCGTAGACCATACCAACATGCTCGACCAGTTCGTACTCGTGAAAACATAGCCGCAGTGAGTGAAAGTGTGCGAGAAGATCCAACCACCTCGACTAGGCACCGTTCGCGACAATTGGGAATTAGTGAGACCACTTTACGCCTGATTTTACACATTGATTTACACCTCCATCCATACAAAATCCAACTAACACAAGAATTGAAGCCGGCAGACCATCAACAGCGGCGTGTTTTTGTTAATTGGATGCTGGAAAGAGAAGACGGATTTTCGGCCAAAGTGCTATTTTCTGATGAGGCTCATTTTCACCTCAATGGGTACGTAAATAAGCAAAATTGCAGATTCTGGGGGCCTGAAAATCCACACCAATATCGTGAACAACCTCTCCATCCTGAAAAAGTGACTGGTGCGGATTATGGGCTGGTGGCATCGTTGGACCATTCTTTTTTGAAGATGCCGAAGAAAAGGCCATTACCGTCAACGGGGAACATATCGCGGCATGTTAACAGACTTTTTGTGGCCACAATTGGATCGTATTGGTGCCGACGATCTTTGGTTTCATCAAGACGGAGCAGCATTTGCCTTTGATTTAGAGACCACTGCTTACCCGCAAATTGGCCATAATTACCTTCCGCTCTAAGCAGAAGTAGTTCGATGGAGATGCTATAAAGCTTTATCTCAATAATGAAGAGCTTGTACACAAAGCATAGGTAATAAACTTTTGAATAATTTTTGATGAGCACTTTTTCAAAGCTCTTTTGCTAAACTAAACGGCATCTACTTTTTACGCTTTAAGCGTGTTTTGTCTCAAGATATTAAAATTAAGCTTTGGGATACAGTCGTTTTAAGTAAGATAAAATATTGGAGTTCCGTGTTTGATCCTCGTTTAACTCAAACCGAAACTTATAGAGTTCTGAAAGTACAGAACAGCTGTATTAGATATTCTGTTGGCATCCGAAGAAGAGGGCGAGTATCTTCATTTATTCAAGAAGTGAATTGGTTGACGACGAGGTAGAGGTGGTTGGTTTACACTTTATGCTTAGTTCGTAGCACTTTATTGACCAAATACCCTACAATTTACATAATAAATTGTCTTTTGAAGTCAACATCATGCGGCAAACCTCCGTTTCGTTGGTTACACCCTTAACACGCCCTCCAATAGAACCACCCTATTTACTAAGAGTTCCTCTTTCGTTGCACCCTATCTCTATTATAAGCACCATGCTGGCTTCACAGTTTTATCAGAGCCACATTTTAAGTCAAAAGTAAAAACCTTTGTTTTTGAAAATATGTCATAATTCTTTATATTGTGTAGTTTTTAACGTGTGTAAAGTGTAACTGTTAACTTTATATCTGTTTTTTGGGTCGAAATTAGACTTTTTCCTATTTTTATTCTACTTTCTTTTTTTTAACACAACTGTATACTTAATCTAAATCTTCACATGTAAATTTTAGCATGTTGGTGTTAGTTGTGAGTTATTCTTATCTAATAGGTTTATTATTATATATTCACATTGTTTATATTTCTCCAAACCTTGTATTGTAATTTTGTTTGGCCCTGGTTGGGATGAAAAGCAGCTTTTAGCTGACCACCGCCAGGTAAAATAAAGGCTATTATTATTATTATATACCATACATACAAATGCAAACATTCAGTTATTTGCAACAAGGAGTTTCTGACTATCACAGACTGTCAAATACAGTCATTCAAATATACTAAGTGACATATAAATCCGAGCACCCAGTTTAAATGGTTTTATTTTAATAAAAGTTGGTGAATGTATTTATCTTACTGTAAATAACAAGTGAAAAATTTTTCAGCCTTATCAGTTGGACATTCCGGTTTTTATACTGCTTTTTTTAAATTCACTAACGCTCTAAAAATGAATATTTCAGCCGCAGTAAAGAATCAACGTTGGCGGATTTTGGTTCTTGACATCCTTTACGATCGGTTACGATGACTTAGTGAGTTTGATAGGGGCCGTATAGTGGGACTTCGGGAAGCTGGACTTTCTTTTCGGGCAATTGCAGTTAGAGTGCAAAGAAGTGTAGACACTGTGGTTAGGTGTTGTCAGGTATGGCTTCGAGAAGGCCGTACGCAAAGAGCAAGGGGCACTGGACGCCGCCGTAGAACAACAGACCGTGAAGATCGCCGCCTAAGATTATTGGCCTTAAGGGACAGTTTCTCCACTACCAGGTCCATTGCAAATGAATGGTTTGCAGAACACGGAAGACCTATTGGCATGCGAAGTGTTTACCGACGAATGAGAAGTTTTGGCTTGTTTTCATACCGGCCACACTGGGTCCTCCCTTTAACTCGAGAACACCGACGTAATCGCCTTGAGTGGTGCAGACAACGGTCACTCTGGGATCAGGAATGGAACAGTATTGTCTTTAGTGACGAGTCTCGATTTTGTTTAGGCATGCACGATGGTCGTGCCAGGGTTAGAAGGCGACGTGGTGAAAGGAGGAATCCACAGTTTTTTGTTGACAGACATGTTCATCACACTGTTGGAGTTATGGTTTGGGGTGCTATAGCTTATGGTTCCAGGTCACCTTTAATCTTCATCAGAGGTCACATGAACGCGCAGCGTTATATCCACGAAGTTCTAGAACCCCATCTTTTACCCT